GCTGTATAGCCCTTGTGGCTTAGCGCTTCTTTTTGATTATAATAATAATTTAAATAATTAAATATTACAAGGACCCCAGTGGAAATCAGTCACTTTGATTTTTTGGGGGGTTATCCTAGGTAATTTACACATGTTACTATGCATGTTAATTGTACTCCAGTGTCCCCTTATGGAAGGTTCCTTGACGCTGGTGAGGGGCTCTTATTTAGGAAATTGTATCTGTGCTCAGGTTCCTGAACACCTTCCACATCCCCCTCAAGCGCTGCATAATCCTACGTGTTTAGCGGTCCCCCTTGATTATAATAATAATAATAATGTACTTCAGTGCACCTGTATAGTATAAACCTTGGTAATATATAGCGACACATTGGTTTAAACTTTAAAAAGACACGTGAGCAAACGCTACGGCATATTTATTATAAAACGTTTAAGTCCTGGAACCTTGATCACTTCTGAAATGATCAAGGTCCCAGGACCAAAACGTTTTCTAATAAATATGTCCTAGTGTTTGTTCACGAGTCTTTTTAAACCATGTGTACCTCTACCTAAATAAACTTATTTGTTTCATGGTTGATCATTCTGTTGGGTTGGAAGATTTAGATTAGATTTTGCCACCGAAGTGGATAGTTTATTGTGGAAGATGCGCTGATTTGCCCGAAATTTCTGGAGTATACCTGGAGGGGGGTTTGGGGGCGTTGACCCCCGAAACCCTCTCCAGGCCTCATGGTGAATATCAAAATGGTAAATAAGACATATAGGCAACATTTAGGCATCTTTATTCCGAAACGTTTCGCCTATACAGTAGGCTTCTTCAGTCGAGTACAGAAAATAGGCAGGAGAAGCAGAGATGTGAAGATAATGTAATCAGTCCATCACCCTTGAAGACGAAGATTTGAGGTTGTCAGTCCCTCAGCTTAGAGAAGAATTCTGTTTCGGAATAAAGATGCCTAACTATTGCCTATGTGTCTTACTTACCAACTTGTCGGTATACCATTTTGATATTCACTCTATCAGACACTGCAATACAATGGTATCTTGGTACAGAAAGTACCTTGGACAACTTTCTCAAGAGAGAATCAGTGATTACATTCTTTCTTCTACTCTACACCTCTCCTTCCGACAGTATATAAGTCTCCACAGTATATAAGTCTACATTGTCGCAGACTATAAAACAGAATTCTTCTCTAGGCTGAGGGACTGACAACCTCAAATCTACGTCTTCAAGGGTGATGGACTGATTACATCGTCTTCACATCTCTACTGATCCTGCCTACTTTCTGTACTAGGCCTCATGGTGGATCAGGGTCTGATCAACCAGGCTGTTACTATTGGCCGCACGCAACCCGACATACGAACCACAACCCGGTTGGTCAGGTACTGACTTTAGGTGCCTGTCGCAGTGCCTGCTTGAAGACTGCCAGGGGTCTATTGGTAATCTCCCTTAGGTATGCTGGTAGGCAGTTGAACAGTCTTGGGCCCCTGACACTTATTGTGTTGTCTCTTATCGTGCTAGTGGCGCCCCTGCTTTTTATTGCCGAGTCTCTTGCTTTCATAGGGAGTGATTCTGTGTAAGTGGTCTAATCCTCAGATTTTCCAAGTGTATAATTATGTATCTCTCCGCCTTCGTTCGGAGTCAGATGGGAACTTGCAATCTAATCCCTTCTCAGCGCTGTATGACCTGAGGGTTTAGTGCTTGGTTTTTTATATAAATATATTCCTCTGATAATGTATATCATGCCATATGCAGTGATTTGATTAAGATCGCATGACCCTACGAGTTTAGTGCTTGTTTAGGCTGTGATATCTGCAATCAATATAGTGCTAACCTCTAGGTGTAATAGACCTTGAGATGAAAATCGCCACTTTTTCCCGAGCTTGTGATTTTACCACGACTATAAATAAAACCGGTCACAATACATAAAGTGTGATTAGTTAAATGTATAAAATGAATCGACAGGTTTAGGTAAGACACATATGACAACCATAGGGTATTTATTGTGAAACTTGTTTAGCTAACAGTAGGCTATTCAAGTCAAGTACAGGAAAGCTTATAGAAGCGAAGATATTGAAGTGATGGACTGATTACAATCGCTTCAGATCTTCTCTTCTTCAACCTGTCGTACTGATGATAACCTACGTGAGGCGAAACGTTTCACAATAAAGAACCCAACGTTCAATGTCTTACCTAACAACAAAGTGTGATTACGATTTTATTCGGTTTTATTACATATTTTTTTAGCAGTTGTTATATAGTAACGTGTAAATTAACTGAAGATAGCTTAATAAAGTCAAACACAGTGACATTTCCTTTGGGATTCCTCGCTAATAATTTTTATTGGGCCATACAAATAATGTAGATAAATGTAGGTAAATAAGTAAGTTTATATATGTACAGGTACACATAAATAGTTATGCAAATCATCATATATACTAACGTGTATAAAGTACCTAGGATAACCCTCCAAAAAAGTCAAGTTGACTTAATTTGCACAGAAAGCCACTAATTATGCAATATATTTCTGGCAACTAATCATAAGACTTACATTTGGTTTCAGGGGTTGATTCATAGTTCCTGGTCCCGAGTAAGTTTATTTAGATACAGGTATACATAAATGCAATTATCATACCTAATAACATATGTGTAAATTACCTAGGATTACTAAAAAAAAGGTCAGTGACTTATTTACATTGTGATCCTTGTAATATGCAATATGTTGTATTATTATTATTATTATTATTATTATTATTATTATTATTATTATTATTATTATTATTATATTAACTGAACAACTGCACGTATCCTGGGGAGGTTAGGTTAGGTAACCTAACCTAACTTAGGTTAGGTTAGATTAGGTTAGGTTAAGTTAGGTTAGGTTAGGTTAAGTTTGGTTAAGTTAGGTTAAGTTAGGTTAGGTTAGGTTAGGTTAAGTTAGGTTAAGTTAGGTTAGGTTAGGTTAGGTTAGGTTAGGTTGTTAGGTTAAGTTAGGTTAGGTTAGGTTAGGTTGTTAGGTTAAGTTATAGGTTAGGTTAGGTTAGGTTAGGTTAGGTTAGGTTAGGTTAGATTAGGTTAGGTTAAGTTAGGTTAGGTTAGGTTAAGTTAGGTTAAGTTAGGTTAGGTTAAGTTAGGTTAAGTTAGGTTAAGTTAAGTTAGGTTAGGTAAGGATAGGTTATTTTAAGTTAGGTTTGGTTAGGTAACCTAACCAAACTTAGGTTAGGTTTTTTCTCACAACATAAAACAATGCCCATGAGAAAACAAAACCAATCTAGTAATTAATATTTTTAAATTATTATTTTTGTTTTTGTTGTCGTTGTTGTTGTTTTTGTTGTGGGTTGTGAGGGATAACAAAGCTTATTCCATGAGCTCCTAAGATTCCGGGAACATATATTGCCTAAATTTGAGCTGGAAATGAAGAGAAAGCAGTTTCTTTCACAAACCAAAACGAAAATCGTAGGTGCCCAATCACAACCTAATACAGGACAATTTAGGAATAAATTATGGCCATTAAATAAGAGCCAGTTCTCCATAATTACTGGAGAGGAGCTGCTCAAAACTCAATGGAAATGTCATTTTTCCGACTTATTTGGGTTATCCTGGATAATTTACACTTATAATTGCACTTAAGTGTACTTGTGTAAGATGATTTACGCACAGGTACTCATAAGTACAACTATCATACATAGTGTAAATTGCTTAAAATACCCAAAAAGTCAGACAAATTGACTTATTGGTGTATGGTGGCGCTACTCTGACCAACTGTTTCTTGCCTGGGTAGTTGTTCATGATGAGGACAATTATTATTATTATAATCAAAAAGAAGCGCTAAACCACAAGGGCTATACAGCGCTGATGATGAGGACAAGTGTCTTGGGCAGAGTACAGGGAAAACCCGCCACATACACAGAGAAATGGTAGAGGAAGGATTTATTATTAAAATCAAGGGGGAAGCGCTAAACCCGGAGGATTATACAGCGCCTGGGGGGATGTGGAAGGCATTCATGCTTAATTCGGGGAACTGGAGCACAGATCCAATTCCCTAAATCAAGAGCCCCTCACCAACATCAAGGAACCTTCCTTGAGGAGATCACCCAGCCAGGAACACTGGTGCTACCACGCTTGATAAATTATTCATTTGTACCTGAATAAAAACTTACTTATCAGTCCCTCAGTCTGGAGGCCGAGGGACTGATAACTAAGTTTTACATATCAGTCCCTCAGCCTCCAGGCTGAGGGACTGATAGGTAAGTTTTTATTCAAGTACAGGTGCAAATAAATACAGTTAACATTGGGATCCTTGATTAAACTCCTGATTTTCACCATTCCTATTTATAATGGACTGATGAAGCCATTGTGTGGCGAAACGTCTCCTTAATAAAGATACCCAAGTGTTACACATGTGTCTAATTAATCAACTTGTGGATTTTATGAAGCATATAACTATATATCATGTCCAAATAAAAAATAAATAAAATAAATACTTGTTGAAGCCAGACTGATACAGCTCACAACCCTTGTGCTTTAGCGCTTCTTTATGATTATAAAAATAATACTTACAGTGATTCTGTATAGAATATAAGTTGAGGAAACTCATGTGGAGCCAGAAACATACAAACATTTACTAAAGAGAGTATTTTTTAGCTAACATACGTGTAAATTTTACCTTATTCCTAGTAATGACCCTCGTATTGTAGATAGTCTTAATGACCCTCGTGTAGTAGATAGTCTTTTTAGTATGATAGTAAGATGTTATCTTCATTATAGAATAATAAGAAAATATTATAACCTTTATATTATAATAATAAGGTAAAAGGACCCCAATGGGAATAAGTCACTCTGTCTGACTTTTTGGGTTATCCTAGGTTCTCTACACATATTCTGCTATGTATGATAATTCTATGTAACTGTATTTGTATATACCTGAATAAACTTACTTATAATACTGACACAGCTCACAACCCTTGTGGTTTAGCGCTTCTTTTTGACTATAATAATAATACTGCCACAGCTCACACTCACCTAGCCAGTAACACCAACACTGGGTTTATGTTGAGTTTTTATGTGCCTTTTCGTACACAAGTTTGATTTATTTTTACAGTGATTCTGTATAGAATTTAAGTTGAGGAAACTCATGTGGAGCCAGAAACACACAAACACTTACTGAAGAGATTATTTCAGTTGTACGTCTCAGATGATCTTCAGCAGTGAACTTCTCGGTTGGAATTAAGTAAGTTTATTCACCTATACACACCCTTGAAAGAAGGTTCCTTGATGCTGGTGAGGGGCTTTTGATCTAGGGAATTGGATCTGTTCTGCAGTTCCCTGAATTAAACCTGAATATCTTCCACATCCCCCCACAGGCGCTGTATAATCCTACGGGTTTAGCGCTTTCCCCTTGATTATTATAATAATCAGGTATACACAGTTAACATTGATTATCATATATAGCAGCATATGTGTATTATTATAGCTGTATAGCCCTTGTGGCTTAGCGCTTCTTTTTTATTATAATAATGTGTGTTATTATAATTAAACAAAGCGCTAAACCGACAAGGGTCATGCAGCAGCATGTGTAGAGATCCTGGATGACCCAAAAACAAGTCATAGTGACTTATTTCCACTGGGGTTCTTGTGGTGGTTATTATTTATATTTAAAAGTTAAAAGCGGGTAAAATTAGTCATTTTCATAAAAGAAATCGCTCTCCTTCCTTTCTGTAGCCTTATTCATGAGGTACATTTTGACTCTTCTTGAACTGGCTCATATTATGACAAGTTTTGACATGTGCTGGCAGTCTGTTCCACTGTTTTATTGCTAAATAGAAAAATGGTCTTTAAAGCTAAGATTTTGTTCAGATTTTTAACCCAGATTGTTATCCACCCGGGGTAACCCAATAAAGTCAGTGTGTCATCAAGGACTGTCCTTATTTCCATTGTGGTTTTGTAATCTTGCCCCCCAGGATGCAACCCACACCAGTCAACTGACACCCAGGTACCTATTTACTGCTAGATGAACAAGGACAGCAGGTGTAAGGAACATGACCAATGTTTCCACTCTTGCCAGGGATTGAGCCACAGTCGCTCATTGTATCAATCGCAGCTGCTAGAAAAATGACAGGATGGATAATGAGAACCTTCAAAACTAGGGATGCCAAGCCCATGATGACACTCTTCAGGTCACTTGTTCTATCTAGGCTGGAATATTGCTGCACACTTAACAGCACCTTTCAAGGCAGGTGAAATTGCTGACCTAGAAAATGTACAGAGAACCTTCACGGTGCGCATAACGGAGATAAAACACCTCAATTACTGGGAGCGCTTGAGGTTCCTAAAACTGTATTCCTGGAACGCAGGAGGGAGAGATACATGATTATATACACCTGGAAAATCTAGAGGGACTAGTACCGAACTTGCACACGAAAATCACCTCACTACGAAAGCAAAAGACTTGGCAGACGATGCAACATCCCCCAATAAAAAAGCGGGGGTGTCACTAGCAACGTTAAGAGACCATACAATAAGTGTCAGGGGCCCGAGACTGTTCAACTGCCTCCCAGCATACATAAGGGGGATTACCAACAGACCCCTGGCAGTCTTCAAGCTGGCACTGGACAAGCACCTAAAGTCGGTTCCTGACCAGCCGGGCTATGGCTCGTACGTTGGTTTGCGTGCAGCCAGCAGCAACAGCCTGGTTGATCAGGCTCTGATCCACCAGGAGGCCTGGTCACAGACCGGGCCGCGGGGGCGTTGACCCCCGGAACTCTCTCCAGGTAAACTCCAGGTGTGAGGCGAGTATATTTGAGGAAGATAATATGTAGCATCTTATCTTTTAGCTCCTGGAGTTACTGTGCTCTCGTCTGTAGTTCAGTCCTCGGCTGAGTGTAAACGTTGGACATATTTACTTACACCTGTTGTCCATGTTCACCTAGCAGTAAGTAGGTACCTGGGTGTTAGTCGACTGGCGTGGGTCGCATCCTGGGGGACAAGATTGAAGGATGGCGCACTGATTTTCCTTGGGTTAAAAATCCAAACAAATCTTATTTTATTTTTTCTTACATACTTAGCATTTTGTGGAAGTTGAGCTGCAGCTACTGGAGCTGCTGTATGTCTTATTTTGAGGGAGTTGAAATACTAAATCATACTAATTGGCTTTGTTGGGTTATCTTAGGTTTAAGAGTCATTGTATTATACTGTAAGCCTGTAATGTAACTGTTGTAAAAATTTAAAAATAAATATTTAAAATATGTTTAATTAATTTAAAATAAAGCTTATCTTTGTATTACAAAATGGGAATTTTGCAACATGGTCCGTGACCTGGTGGCAAAAGCTCTTGCTTCACACGGTGAGTGTCCAGGTTCAGTTTCTGACAAAGGTTGAAACATTACGCGTGTTTCCTTACACTGGTTGTCTATGTTCCCCCTCAGTAAAATGAGTACCTGGGTGTTAGTCAACTAGTGTGGGTTGCATCCTGGGACAAAACTGACCTAATTTGCCCAAAATTCTCTGCATAACAAGTGGCTTTCTAGATAGTAGTATGTCATTGATGTCAGCTAGTCTTGTATACCTTGTACATGTACTTGTAGAAATAAAGATATTATATTATATTATTATTATTATTATTACTGTTAATGCCCTATTCCATAGGTAATCACCAACATGACAGCTATCGAAGACGATGAGGAAATAGCTGGAGCTGTAGATGCTCTTTTAGAGGATGACTATACAGAGGAGATGGCTGAAGAGTTTGGTGATGAGGGGAATTACCAGGATGACATCCCTCAAGATGAACTGGAGAACATCTTTGCGGATTATGATATAGACATGCCTGATGCTCCAGAATATGATGAGCTAACACTGGTAAGTAGAGTAATGCACCCTTCAAGGGGGTTATCTTGATATTGGTGAAGGGTTCTTTTGATCAAGAGGAATTGGAGCTACTTTCCCATTCCATGGACCAACCCTGATTGCCTCCTGTTCCCCAGGTGCTGCATGCTCCACAAGATTTTAGCACTCCCCATGCTTACACACTCACTATACAGTGGACCCCCGTTTAACGATATTTTTTCATTCCAGAAGTATGCTCAGGTGCCAGTACTGACCGAGTTTGTTCCCATAAGGAATATTGTGAAGTAGATTAGTCCATTTCAGACCCCAAACTACACGTACAAATGCACTTACATAAATACACTTACATAATTGGTCACATTGGGAGGTGATCGTTAAGCAGGGGTCCACTGTATTAGTAAAAAAAATTGCATTGATAATAATGTAAAATGAATGTCTTTTTATTATTTTAGAACCAGACAACAGTATGTGATGATGATGCTCTTCCTCCTGGAATTCCCGCACCAACTAATGACCACTTACATGTCCTTCAAGAATCATTTGGTCATAGTGCCTTTCGCCCTATGCAGTGGAAAATAATCTATGCTGTATTGCAGGTACATACATTGTTATTTTTCCAGTTATAATTTTTACTACCAAGCACTTTATTGTTGACAAACCTGAAGCATTACTTTTCTGTTGTTCATTTTTTGTGTCAAAAGGTTGAAAATTGTGAATTACTGTATTTTAATTGTAAACAGTTCTTTGAAAGTTGACTGCAAATTCATACACATAATCGCATAGGTAACACTGTACATATTTATGAACTTCTAAAAAATAATGCATGCCATTATGTGAACAGGTAAAGATGACTTAAGAAATCGTAATGACACGATTGCAAATAAACCATACCCCCGGCCGGGATTGAACCCGACGGGCTGGAGTTTTGAGACTCTATGACCGCGGGTTCAATCCCGGCCGGGGGTATGGTTTGTGAACAGGTAAACTTTGGTCATTGTCTGTTTTCTTTTAATGCAAGTTAAAACAAACTAATACTGCAAGCTTATTAATTTACTGTAAAGCACTGGGCAACATTTAAAATTTTGGAACTCGAATGATATGTAAATACGGACAAAGTAGACTAAATGGTACTTAGATGCAGAGGATATCTTTATTAATGACGTTTCATCCACACAGTAGGCTACATCAGGTCAGTAGATAATGAATAAGGAAGAATTTTTGTTTTTAACACACTGACCATTTCCCACAAAGATAGCGTGACCCAAAAAAGAAACTTTTTCATTATCATTCACTCTTGCCAGAGGTGTGCAGATGCTGCAGTTCAGATGCTTCTCCAAACTGCGATTATATATACATATAAAAGAAGAGTGTATAAATCTGTAGGGGAAGGAAGGCTGGGTAGGGGTCATCCCCAAAAAGGTTGGAGGGAGGGGGTAAAGGAGGTTTTGTGGGTGAGGGGCTTGGACTTCCAGCAAGTGTATGTGAACATGTTAGATAGGGATGAGTGGAGACGAATGGTTTTTGGGACCTGATGAGCTATTGGAGTGTGAGCTGGGCAGTGTTTTGTGAAGGTATTCAGGGAAACCAGTTAGCCTGACATGAGTCCTGGAAATGGAAAGTAAAATGCCTGCACTTTAAAGGACGGGTTTGGGATATTGACAGTTTGGAGGGACGTCTAAACTGTCGTATCTGAGTGTCTCTGCAAAAACAGTGATTATGTATGAGTGATGGTGAAAGTGTTGAATGTTGATGAAAGTTTTTTTCTTTCTTTTTGGGTCACCCTGCCTCAGTAGGAAACAGCTGACGTGTTAAAAAAATAAATAAAAAATAAAGGAAGGTGAGGTGCATGGGAGTATCTCAGTGTGAGGATGTGCACTGAAGAGTGTATGCTGGATACTATATTATATTGGCTCCTGGACACCTGGATGACTTGCAAGTAAGGTGTAAGCTAAATGTTTGGCTAACATGAATCTACTCTGGTTTTCTGTAATAGTATTAGAGGTGCTGATAAGTGCAGATTTTAACCCTTAAACTGCCAACACGTAGATCTACGTGCACGTGCACGTGCACAGCGCTCCGAGCGTAGATCTACGTTTTTTTACATGCTTTCAAATGGAGAAAATAAAGGTTGGAGCACTATGCATGTAAACATAGATCTACCTTTGGACAGTTTAAGGGTTAAACACCTTGTGTCTGTCTCGTTCTTTGACAACAGGTATAGCATCTGCCCATATCATGAGGTGGTTGTCGGTGTTTCAATGTATAATGCATGCATTATTTGTACTTATTGCATTCTGCATACATTATTTTGCATTGTGTTCTGTATACATACTAGTATTCTTTGACCCATGTGACAAGGTCCTGTAACATTTGCCACATCAGTTGCATGGAATGATGTAGACTACTGCTTTTTCTATATTATAGTGTCTGGCTCTTAGTAAGGTCCTTGATGGTAGTGGAAGTTAAACCTTGCATTCAATTCACCCTGTAGGAGGAATGCAACGTGCTCTCTTTTGTAGATGTTCTGTCCTGCAAATCAGATACACAGCTGAAATTCAAGGTTTACCAGAACCTTACTAATTGACATGACCTTGTCCATTCCATGTCCCACCTCAATGATAGAAACAAGAGAGGGATGCTAATAGGTTTCTTCAGAGTATACAGAGTATACAGTCTGGAGTATACAGTCTGAAGGAAAAGGCTGCTTTTAAATTATGAGTACATCCAAAACGAATGGATAGGTACTGTACTTTACTCTTCACACAAGTAATATTTGCACCAAACACGCCAACATGCTGTTCAAAAGCAACGTTACAGTCATCACTTCCATGGCCATCAAGGATGACACTGGGGCTAAATAAAGCCACCATGATGCAGGAAGAGCAGAAGTCTGTTTCATTACTAGTAATGGACATAACAAATGTTACATAGGGAAAATTTCACAGAACATTACCACACGAGTCTGAGAACATCAGTGTACATGCAGAACCCACAACACAGCACAAACAAGGCATGTGTTATACATATGGATAGACTTAGAATCTGCCCATATCAGAACCAGGATATTTTTTTTTTTATTAACACATCGGCCATTTCTCACAAGGCAGGGTGGCCCAAAAAAGAAAAACTTTCATCATTCACTCCATCACTGTCTTGCCAGAGGCATGCTTACACTACAGTTGTGATGAATGGTTTTGAAAACTGACAAGTTGAAGAATTGAGACATTAATGCAACATATGGGAATCTTTATTGAAGAAACGTTTCGCTACACATTGGCTTCATCAGTCTTATACAAAGCAGGAAGATTAACATTAACATGAACACCCCTCCTTCAGAGTGCCAGCACTGTACTTCCCATCTCCAGGAATCAAGTCTGGCCTGCCAGTTTTCCTGAATCCCTCCATAAATGTTACCTTGCGTACACTCCAACGGCACGTCAAATCCTAAAAACATTTGTCTGCATTTGCTCCTGTCTAATATGCTCACTCACGCTTGCTGGAAGTCCAAGCCCCCTGCACGCAAAACCTTTACCCCCTCCCCTCCAACCTTTCCTAGGCCGACCCCTACCCCAACTTCCCTCCACTACAGATTTATACACTCTCAAAGTCATTCTAGCTTCTTGTTATCCAAACGTTGACCTGACATCATACTTTCAAGTTATCTAGGTGTCTGGAAGTCAGTAAAATAGACTGGTGTCCTCCTTGCAGTGACTTACACTCCAAGATAATCCTATTTACCTCACCTTCCTTTGTACCTGTATACATATTCCTTTTTTGCATTTGTTTTCTACTGACTTGATAAAGCTCACTGTGTGGGCCAAACATTGTTCTTAATGAAGATATCCGTGCATCTAGGTGTTATTTAAAATTATGATATAACTTTCTTACATAGTGACAGACAAGCAATATAAATTCAATTTGTGTCTAACTTATTGTGACTAAAGCTGTTTTAGATTTGTTGAATGTTATATCAAGTTTCTACAGTGCTTTTTTAGCATCATTTATTCTAGGGTCGTGATAACTGTGTAGTAATGGCAACAGGATATGGCAAAAGTCTTTGCTACCAGTTCCCTGCAGTGTACACTAGTGGAGTGGCAGTAGTTGTGTCACCACTCATATCTCTTATGCAGGACCAGGTGTTGGCCCTCAAGGTAAGCATTTAATCTTTTATAATTACCTATGCTGTATTTGTTATCTGTATGGGTGCCTTGTGGAGTTTTATAATGCTGTTTCCCATTGATATATTGAAAATTGATTCTTTGTATTGATTTAAAACTTGAATGATGTGACATTGAATAAGTGAACTGATACCAAAGTCACTACAAACAGATCCTTCCACCACCCCAGTTTGTGACACATATCCCTTTGATGACATTTTTCTTCTCATAACTATCTGCCTTTTTCTCTCAAACAGAAAGACTCTCATCCACTTTAATAATTTATCCTTTATTCCTCCTATCTTAAAGTTTCCAAATTAGTCTTTCATGGAAAACTATGAAAAACATTCTTAACATCTAGATAAATGCAATCTGCCCATCCATTCTGTGAACAATTTCTGAGACTGTCATAATAACTTATTAGATTTGATATATACTGTACATGAATTTCCAGGTGGTAAGTTACTAAATGCTGTAAAGAGCTTTTATGAGGATAGTGAGGATCAGGTTAGGGTGTGTAGAAGAGAGGGAGACTACTTCCCGGTAAAAGTAGGTCTTAGACAGGGATGTGTAATGTCACCATGGTTGTTTAATATATTTATAGATGGGGTTGTAAAAGGAGTAAATGCTAGGGTGTTCGGGAGAGGGGTGGATTAAATTATGGGGAATCAAATTCAAAATGGGAATTGACACAGTTACTTTTTGCTGATGATACTGTGCTTATGGGAGATTCTAAAGAAAAATTGCAAAGGTTAGTGGATGAGTTTGGGAATGTGTGTAAAGGTAGAAAGTTGAAAGTGAACATAGAAAAGAGTAAGGTGATGAGGGTATCAAATGATTTAGATAAAGAAAAACTGGATATCAAATTGGGGAGGAGGAGTATGGAAGAAGTGAATGTTTTCAGATACTTGGGAGTTGACGTGTCGGTGGATGGATTTATGAAAGATGGGGTTAATCATAGAATTGATGAAGGAAAAAAGGTGAGTGGTGCGTTGAGGTACATGTGGAGTCAAAAAACGTTATCTATGGAGGCAAAGAAGGGAATGTATGAAAGTATAGTAGTACCAACACTCTTATATGGGTGTGAAACTTGGGTGGTAAATGCAGCAGCGAGGAGACGGTTGGAGGCAGTGGAGATGTCCTGTCTAAGGGCAATGTGTGGTGTAAATATTATGCAGAAAATTCGGAGTGTGGAAATTAGGAAAAGGTGTGGAGTTAATAAAAGTATTAGTCAGAGGGCAGAAGAGGGGTTGTTGAGGTGGTTTGGTCATTTAGAGAGAATGGATCAAAATAGAATGACATGGAAAGCATATAAATCTAAAGGGGAAGGAAGGCGGGGTAGGGGTCGCCCTCAAAAGGGTTGGAGAGAGAGGGTAAAGGAGGTTTTGTGGGCGAGGGGCTTGGACTTCCAGCAAGCATGCGTGAGCGTGTTAGATAGGAGTGAATGGAGACGAATGATACTTGGGACCTGACGATCTGTTGGAGTGTGAGCAGGGTAATATTTAGTGAAGGGATTCAGGGAAACCGGTTATTTTCATATAGTCGGACTTGAGTCCTGGAAATGGGAAGTACAATGCCTGCACTTTAAAGGAGGGGTTTGGGATATTGGCAGTTTGGAGGGATATGTTGTGTAACTTTATACGTATATGCTTCTAAACTGTTGTATTCTGAGCACCTCTGCAAAAACAGTGATAATGTGTGAGTGTGGTGAAAGCGTTGAATGACGATGAAAGTATTTTCTTTTGGGGGATTTTCTTTCTTTTTTGGGTCACCCTGCCTCTGTGGGAGACGGCCATCTTGTTGAAAAAAAAAAAAAAAAAAAGAATTTCCAGAGGGAAAAATGAATTGTTTACTCATTAGTGGGTGTTCTCTTTTATGTGTTTTATCCACTTTAATAGCTTTTTCCATTGTTTTTACAGCAACATTTGTCAATGAAACTGGCCTGTAATTGAAAGGGTCTTCCCTGTCACCTTTTTTCCAATAATGGCTCAGAGTGTGCCATTGTGAATCATAGTCACATCTTTTTAATAAAGCATTATCATTCCTAGTTGTGTATATGACATTCTTTGCTTTCAGGCATCCAACATTGAAGCATGTTACCTTGGAAGTGCCCTTAAGAATAAAGGGGAAGTGTATTCCGACATGTTTACTGGCAGATATAGAGTCATTTATATAACTCCAGAATTCACTGATGGTATGTGTAATTATGTTTTGGTATACTAGAAGATAACAAAACATTAACAGGAAATTTGGGAGATAATAATAAGGTGTTTCTTTTTCTTGGGTTACCCTACCTCATTGGGAGATGGCTGGTGTGCTAAAAGAAATAATAATAATAATTCTTAATAATAATCAGAAATTGTAAGAGCTGCTAATTAATTCTATAGTTATGAGGTAGATACATGCATATGTTACATGCACATACTGTACTCGTATAATATTATTAGTATGTGGAGATGATTTCCATGTTTTTCCTGCCTGTTGAGGTATATACTGATCAGATGGTTTGGTATGTTTGTCTCTAGTCTTAATAACACTTTAAAAGGAAATACTGTTCAAAATTATTTTCTTTCTTATAAAGTGTTTTATTTATAGGTAGAGCTGAAGAAAAATTCATGTGCAAACACTCAATACAGTGGACTAATAAGGGGGACTGTCTGAATATCTGTTATATCAGAATAATGTATAAAGAAAAAAAACTGTTTTCTGTTATATTGCAGGAAACCTTGGAAATAAAGATGTTAAAGGTACAAGTTACCCAGTGGATTTTGTCTATTATTTTAACAATTTGAAGGTCCAAGCCAGAGATCTGTCTTGTCCACAGGGTAAAGGCCATAGTTCTAAGCCATGAGCTCAACTCACTCAGATTAGCTGTGAGCAGTAAATTTGGGCCTAGATATGAGAGAATGCATTTATGTGGTAAGTGTGCACCATATAAAACAAATCTGCAGCATGTAGTGCATAATGAGATAAAAAACCAACCATGTTTTTCGATTAAAACACTGAGTTTGCAGTGCATTTTCATATGGTTTTTACGGGTGTATTTATGGTTTCTTGGTCTTATTTGATAGAATGGAAGATATATTACAGAAACAGAGATGATTTTGATTGGTTTTGGTGCTGAAAACAGCTTGAAATTGAGCTCAAATTAGCAGGAATGTTTGATTTTCCCCAATGTTCATGAGTAAACAAATGACGTCATGTGTCCAGTACACACCAACTGGTGGGTCTAATATACGTTCATGAATGCGCTGATATTATTTATACAATTAGTATTATAAAACTGCATAGCAGTAAATATTCTATTATTTGGTGTGAATAAAATTCCTTTATGTAAATAAAAAATCAAAATGAAATTCATCTGTAAAACCTGGAAATGTAACTGATAAACAGTGGAAATGTTATTTTAGTGCCAGGAATGCCTGCATTGTTTATTCTGGACCTTATTTTGAAATTGGAACATTTTGAACTTTGTGTGAAATTGGGCAAATTACCAATTTCTGATCATTTTATTGGGTAGTTGAAATAGTTGATTAGGCAGTTTCTTGTGCTCAATCGATAAAATAGAAGTAATACTAGCAAAATAGCTAAGAATTTGGTCAACTGGAGTAATGTAATTGGCCTAAAATAGGAGTCAGAGTGGGCAAAATTGCCGACGTGTAAATATCATTGATGCAGTAAAATTTGCATGTGTAATTTCGTCAATTTTCCATCAAATTTTGTACTTTTTGTTTATTACCTTCAGAAAATGATTCTCTAACATTTCATAAGAAAAAATTAAAATTATTTTTGACAATTCTTGGACCCTGTGGACAAGGTGTAGATCTACGGCTTGGACCCCTCAAACAGTTAAATGTCTGTTATATCGAGATTTACTGTACAGTACTACAGACTAATTTGATAGAATTTAGAATTAACTATAGAGGTCAAAGAATGGATAAAAGAGTAAGCATTCTTGTGCAAATTGATGTAAATCTTATGGGATGAAGAATGTATATTTCTTTTCAAATAAAAGTTTAATTAAAAAATTATTTTCAGATTATTTTTACAGAGTTCTTAGTAATATTTTGTCTTCACTGAGTATATACAAAAATTATTTTATTTTCTGTGTAACATTCTGAAATGTCATTCATATTACAGTAATAAGAATAAAGCAAAATACCTTTTTCTCTGTGGGCAGCATGTTCAGATATCCTGGTCACACTCAAGAACAGAGTAGGGATTTCCCTCTTTGCAATTGATGAAGCTCATTGTGTCAGTCAATGGGGACATGACTTCAGGGCTGCTTACAGGTTAGTTACTCTTTAGTAGTGTCAATTCCAGTAATTTTTATCCTAGAGTTATGGGTTATAATTTTCTTTTTGAAGAGACTATAAATTGATATGGTCTGCTTTGTAGCATGAATTCCCCATGACTGTTTTAAGCCTTCCATGATTGTATGTTCTAGCATTGTCTTTTTTTGTTTGTCTCCTCCACAGCTCTCCTTGTTATTTTTCCCAGCTTATTTAGCATTTATGTATAGAATGTTTAGAAAAGAATCATTTTTAGCATTACAAAGTTTTGTAATTTTTTCTTAACATATAATTTATATATCCACAGTAGCTTCATATATATGCCGGGAGCAAGGGGCTAGTAATCCCTTCTCCTGTATTGATTACTAAATTTGAAAAGAGAAACTTTTGTTTTTCTTTTTGGGGGCACCTTGCCTCGGTGGGATACGGCCGGTTTGTTGAAAAAAAAAAAAAGCTTCATATATATGTATGGTGTATTGCATTGTAGTAGTATTTTAAATTCTAATTTAAAGCTTACCTACTTTTAACAGCTACCAAAATTATTGTTCTTAAATTTTAATAAGAAAATTTGCCCTCAATTTTGATTAACCAGTGAATAAAGCATTTGTTCAGCATTCATATTTTTAATTGCAAAAAAATTCAAGATTAAGGTTTTAGAATTCACTCCTGGCTACTGAAGAAATTTGACTGACTAGGAGGAAGCTATCTTGCTTCTGCAAAATAATGACCTATACGGGTTTAGTGAGGTGGGAAGTACATTGCCTCTACTCTGAAGGAGGGGTTTGGGATATTTGCTGTTCTGAGCGATATCTAAACTGTCGTAACTGCGCACCTCTGGAAAGACAGTAATAGTGCGAATGATGGCAGAAGTGTTTCTTTCGTTTTTGGGTCACCCTACCTCGGTGAGAGACGGCCAACTTGTTAAAAAAGAAATAATAATAATCATACATGTACTTCCCCAGGCGGCTTGGAACTTTGAGAAAGCAGTTTCCCAAAGTCCCAATTTTAGCGCTAACAGCCACTGCAACTCAGCGTGTACGCAAGGACATATGTTCTTCACTTGGACTGCGGTATGTTTACTATTATATTTTTCTTTTTTGTTTATGCATAAAACTATGTACTATATACATCTTGAGATTTTTCTGTATCATTTTAAAAGCACTTGTCAACTTCCTGCAAATACCAGTTGTCAGCAGTCTTGCCCACTCATCTGACTGGACGTGTATGTGTTGTCTATTTTATTGCACAACAAAATTATGTATGTACCATAAAATATCATTTGATTCAAACATTGCACATATTATTCTTTAAAAGTGCACTTACTAATATCATATGTTATTAATTATTCATGTTTGTTTTTATTTGTGGCACATGAAAAATTTTGCCATTCTTCAACCCAGTGAGATCAAATAGAATTTTGAAAGTTCTTTATATCCAACCTATTATTTTCCTTACAGCTATGATCAGTATACATTGGAACCTCAGCACTTGAACTTAATTGGTTCCAGAGGGCTGTTCAAGTGCCAGTCTGTTTGAGTACAGAACAAATTTTCCCCAGTTAATTTTCTTTATGGTTGGCTGTTATCACTAACCCTCTTAGGCCCCATGGTGACTTCTTTATACAAATAATATAAAAAACATGAAAAAATGCGAAGAAACACGAAATAGTTTACCGCGAAGTTCTGGCAGATTGTGTTTGTTTGGATGAGTGTTGAGCAAACGGTTGACTACCGAGCGATTTGTTTACTGAACAAAGAATACGAATACCGAATTGTTCGAGTACAGAGCTGTTCGAGTACTGAGGTTCCACTGTAAATCGTGGTATACAATACTGACAAGTAGATAAGTAAGACACATGTGCAATAGTTAAATATCTTTATTCCAGAAAGATTTCACCTACATAGAAAGCTTCTTCAGTCAAGTGATGAGGAGATTAATTTGGAGAGGGCAGAGGCATTGGAAAAGTAAAGATAATGTGATCAGTCCATCAACCTTAGAGCCTACTGTGTAAGCAAAACGTTTTGAATTAAGATACTTAACTGTTGCACAGCTGTATGATAACATTATTGTATTCTCTGAATGAAGTATCTTCTAACATGTTTACCCTTAAGCCCTTTATTTATCTCCTTTGCTATTATGAGTGGTTGCCCTACATTTTGTATACTGTTTCAATTTGAAATGGTCTAGCAGTTATCCAAGTTGAAGGAGTGTCCTACTGAAACCCATGTTTTCCTGGGTTGTGTAATTGTTATAATGTCATGCGTACAGCAGCTTCTTAGCAATCTTTCAAAGATTTTGATAAGGTGTGATGTCAGTGCTATCAGTCTGTAGCTTTGTGCAAGTGCTTTGTTACCACTTCTGTGGAGGGGGCTATGACAGTTTTTTTTTTTTTTTTTTTTTTTTTAAGCTTGAGGTGATGTTGAGTTCATAGGCTATCTCCATGGAATATTTAAGGTAAAAATGGGTTAGAGAACCAGTTAGTGGCTTACTACAATCTGGTTATTTCAGATAAAAAATCATTACCAAGGTTCTTAAACTTTTCATGATTCATTTGGTAATTTCATTTATTTGGTATTTTCAGTATAATAGAGGAAAAGCTGTTGCTTGGCATTTCTTTGTGTTACAGAAATAATTGGCTCAGTGTTTTAAATTTTCTTTTCGCTCTATTTCTGCTTTTGGCCAAGAGTTTATATATTTTATTTTAATCCTAAGAATTATTCAGTTGGCATTTTTAGTTTTTTTATGGCCTGGTTTATTAAACAAATTAAAAAGGAGAAAATAAAAGACTTCATTTTGAATTCTGATAATTTTGCAATAATTTTTTTATCACATTGGCTGTTTCCCACCAAGGTAGGGTGACTTAAAAAGAGAAATATTCACAGTTATTAATTCAGTAGAGCTGTTACCAGAAATGCACAGACATCACAAGTCGTATGCTCTCGAAACTGTAGCATCTCCACCTTTCCTTTAGAGTATAAGCATTTTACTTCCCACTTCCAGGTTCCAGACTCAAGTCTGCCTAACTGATTCCTCTGAATCCCTTCATAAAGGTTACTCCTCTCACACTCCAACAGCCTGTGAAAGCCTTAAAACACCACATGTGCCCACTCACACCAGTCTAACATGCCTACATATGCCAGCTGGATGCTCAAGCCCCAACTACGTAAAACCTTCTTCAAATCCTCCTTCCAGCTTTTTCTGGGATGACCCCTATTTCTCCTGCCTTCTACCCCTGATTTGAAAGTTAAGACACATGTGCAACATCGGGATATCTTTATTGTAGACGTTTCGCCATCCAGTGGCTTTATCAATACAGATTCTTGGACATACTTAGAAGAAAGTAGAACTATATACAAAAGATGAGGTAATGAGTTCCTCAGCCTTGGAGTTGGTGTTGAGAGCGCCGTAGCGGTGGAGAATCTGGAGCAAAGGCAAAGAGACTGGTGGTTATATAGGCGTCAGTGGATAGGGACACGTAGAAGATGAGGGCATAGACTATGCCCTCGTCTACTACACGTCCCTATCCACTGATGCCTATATAACCACCAGTCTCTTTGCCATTGCTCCAGATTCTCCACCACCACGGTGCTCTCAATACCAACTCCAAGGCTGAGGGACTCATTACCTCATCTTTTGTAGTATATAGCTCTACTGTCTTCTAAGTACGTCCTAGAATCTATATTGATAAAGCCACTGGATGGCAAAACGTGTACAATAAAGATATCCAGATGTTGCACATGTGTCTTAACTTTCATATTGTCGGTATTGTATACCTTTCTTGCACTACCCCTGATTTATATACCTTCTTGATTATCCTATTCTTTTTCATCTTCTCAGAAGCCTCAAACCACCTACACAATGCCTCTGCCCTCTGAATAATACCTTTTGAAACCCCCACGCTGTCTTTTGATTTCTCATAAAAACACTTTTAGCAAAGAAAAAGTGATCATTATTATTGTGAAGGGATTCAGGGAAACCAGTTAGCCAGACTTGAGTCCTGGAGGTGAGAAGTACAAAGCCTGCACTTTAAAGGAAGGGTTTGTCATATTGGCTGTTTGGAGTGACGTTTAAACTGTTGTATCTGAGTGCCTCTGCAAAGACAGTGATTATGTGTGAATGATGATGAAAGTGTTTGTTTTGTTTTTGAGTCAACCTGCCTTGGTGGGAGAGAGCCGACGTGTTAAAAAAAAATTATTGCTCCACATCATATGAGCTCTCCAGCTGTAATAAACACTGTGAGAGTCCACTGGCACCATAACTATAGTCTGACTGCCAAGTACATAATTTGATTGCCAATTGTTTTGTATGTTTTGTGGACTGTCAGCAATACCTAATGATTACTTATGTATATATTTTGTTTTATATTTAGATCACCAGAAGTGACTATTACAAGCTTTGACCGACCAAATCTCTATATTGAAGTGAGGATCAAGAAAAAAAACATTTTATCTGATCTTCTTCCCCTCATGGCAAAAGATTCATGTGGAAAATACTATCCAGAGGGATCTACCATTATTTATTGCCCCACAAAGAAAGCAACAGAGGAAGTAGCACTAACATTAAGAGGTTAGTGTTCAATAAAAACAAATGTTTATGAGTGATGAATGTGTGCATACAGTGTTAATTATATATAATTAGGGAAACAATATGATGAAATGGAGTGTAGAAATTATTACACAGGTAAACTGGTTGTATGAAACCTGCCTTGAAATTTTGTCTTGCGAGGGGTTTATATAGTTTTACATGCTTTATTTGCATCAACTTTTCAGAGGTGATGAATAATCACATTGATTTTAATATATTTCTTCTATTGATTGATATATATTATTAGTTTAAATTTATGTATACTTTGTATTGTGCTCTTTGAGCATACTTTTCTTGTTTTAGAAGCTTTTAGTGATGATTATTTATAATGAATTTATACTGCAGGTTCTGGAATAAATTGTGAGATGTACCATGCTGGAATGACGCCAGATCAGCGAAAGAAATCTCATGAAAGATTTGTTTGTGACAAGGTAATGCTAAAATTTTAAATTAAATGATTATTTGATTTCACCTAAAGAATGTATTAATGTATCATAATGCACTCAGTAGAAATTCAATACTGCATTTACAGTCTTGTCATTAACAACTCCTAGGTCAATTATCTGCATTAAATCAAATCATTTTTGGAACCTTTTATGAATGTTAGTAATAAATAGATAATAGTCACTCATCATAGTGTACCATCAAGGTTTCTGGAAGCTGCAAGTTAGAAACCTTCTTAACCCTTTCATTGTAAGTGCCATAGTACTATGGGTTTGAGGTCATTGTCTGTGCTGTAGTTCTACGCCATGAGCTCAGCTCACTCAGATAAGCTGTAAGTGGTAAAATTGGGCCTAGATATGAAAGAATTGGTTGATGTGGTAAGTGTACACCATATACAAATAATCCTGCCCCCACATAGTGCTTAATAGGGAAAAACTGCAACCATGTTGTTGGTAAAAATAGCAACTTTGTGGTGCATTTTTGGGTGTTTTTTATGGCTGTATTTTTGGTTTCTTGGTTTCATTTGATAGAATGAACGATATATTACAGAAATAGATGATTTTGATTGGTTTCAGGAATGAAAGTAGTTGAAATTAAGCTCAAAGTAGTGAGAATGTTTGATTTTTGCCAGTATTCTGGAGTATGTAAATCACCTCACTCATCCAATGTGCAACCAACTGGTTGGTCTAATATGCGTTCATTAGGGTCTTTAACCCTTTGAGAGTCCGTCCCATAGTTCTACAGCTTTGAAGCCTGGGTCCAAGCTGTAGAACTACAGCTTGAGCTCAGCTCACTCAGATAACCTGTGAGCTGTAAATTTGGCCTAGATATGAGAGAATACATCTGTGTGGTAAGTGTGTACCACATAAAACAAATACTGCAGCACACAGTGCATAATGAGAAAAAAAACTGCAAATGTATTTTTAGATTAAAGCATTTGCGGTGCTTTTCGTATGTTTTTTACAGTTGTATTTGCGATTTCTTCATCTCATTTGATAGAATGGAAGATATATTACAGAAATAGAGATGATTTTGATTGGTTTTCTTACTGAAAATGGCTTGAAATTGAGCTCAGAGTAGTGGAAATGTTCAGTTTTTGCCGATGTTCAAGGGTAAACAAATGTCCTCTCACGTCTAATACACATCAGCTGGTGGGTCTAATATATGTTCATGAATGTGCTGATATTATTTATACAATTATTACAATTTTGCATAACAGTAAATCTGTGAAATTATGTGAATAAAAAATCAAAATGGAATTCATTTGTAAAGCCTGAAAACGTAACTAATAAGCAGAGGAAATGTTAGTTTAGTGCCAGGAATGCCTGCATTGTTTATTCTGGACCCTATTATAAAGTTGGAATATTTTGAACTTTGTGTTAAATTGGCCAAATTACCAATTTCTGATCACTTAGTTGGGTAGTTGAAACAGTTGACTGGGCAATTTCTTGTGCTCAATTGATAAAATAGAAGTAATACTAGCGAAATAACTAAGAATTTGATCGATTGGAATAATGTAATTGGGCTACAAAGGGAGCCAAAGTAGGCAAAATCGGCGATGCATAAATATCGCTGATGCAGCAGAATTCGCAAGAGCGTAATTTCATCAGTTTTCCATCAAATTTCGTACATTTTGATTTATTACATTCAGAAGAAGATTCTCTACCATTTCATAAGAAAAAAATAAAATTTTTTTTTTTGAAAATTCTTGAACCCTGGCTGTCACTCTGAGATTTGGCCTCTGGACCCTCAAAGGGTTAACTTACTGGTTATATCATTATGCTAAGAACTTGTTAACTGTGCTATCTAGGATGCCTTAAACAAGGGTAATCTACTATTGTAACTAATGTACAGTATCTCCTTGAAAAATAGTTATCTGTCTTAGCTAACTACTGATTCAGACTTTGAATAAAGGCATCATTTAGATTTTTACTCTCTTTGGTTTCTTAGTGCCTCTAAATTAGACTTAGTTTTCACAAAATGCTGCTTGACAAGAATTCTTGATTGCTCTTTGCCCATACCTGAGACTAGGAGCTGACTGGTGCAGTGAGTTCCTAGTCTCAGGAATGATATCATGTATATTTTTAAACCAATGCAGGTTTACCTCAGTACTGTGCTTCAGTACTCTGAATATCTTTTACACCAGCTTCATTTCACCCTTTACCTTACCTGTAACATGAGATTCAGCTGCTTTAGTTTCTCTTAGTAGTTCATGTTCCTCAGCTTAGAAGCCAGTCTGCTGTAAATCTGTGTAATGTGGTACAACATATTTACATGTTGGAAAGATACCTGGGGATCTTTCTGTCAGTTTTTGTGGTGCAGTATATTTTTAGGCAAGAAAGATATAGTATACAATGCTGTATACAGTATAGTACTTGAATTTTTATTCTTTCCTATTTAGGTAGACCTCGTAGTTGCTACGGTTGCCTTTGGAATGGGAATAAATAAACCTGATGTGCGACGAGTCATTCACTATGGAGCACCAAGTAACCACGAGTCCTACTATCAGGAAATAGGTCGCGCAGGAAGAGATGGCCTACCATCAGTATGTTCTGTAATTTATGCCCCAGGGGATTTTGCAGTCCACAGGTGTGATATTATTCATAGACAAAATTAAAATATAAAATTGTCAATCAGTATTTTCCATGGTCTGAATATTACCTTTTTTTCTATTTTTCCAATTTAAGTTATTTGTCCTCAGAGTAATTTAGTGGAAGTAATTGAAAGTTTACATTTTTTTATTTTCATCAAATTAACCATACTGTGATAAAAAATTGATAAATGCTATTTTCTATGATATGTCATCAAAAATATTGTCTAGGGCACATTTATAAAGAATTTATTTACAAAACCATCTGTAAGAGTTCTGATAATATATATTATTTTTCAGGTTTTTTTTGCACCAGATAAAATCAGATGAGTATCGAAATCATCGCAGAATGATGATGAACAAAATGGAAACATACCTGAATCTCACCACCTGTCGTCGAGCTGATATTCTTTCTCACTTCACTTCCAACTCTCCCAGCAGTACACCAAAGAAAGATTGCTGTGACAACTGTACCCAACTGTAAGGGCTTCTTCTGTGCTGTTTGTTTTTTTAATCACATAAGCCATTTCCTACCAAGGTAATGTGACCAAACTAGGAAGCATTCACCATAATTTATCCAGTAGCTGTCTTGGGGACACTACAATTCAAATTACCCTCTAATTGCAACACATCCCTCCCCCTTATCCTTCAGAGTGCTGACACAGTATTTCCCATCGCCAGGATTCAAGTGCTATATAGTTTAAAACTAAATTTTTTCGCATTTGTGCATAGATTTGAATGCGCTTCAACAGACATACTTAAGAGTATTATACAGCATGCATACAGTTAAGCTTTTATAAATACAGTATGTGTATGCAGACATAAACAAAGGAGCATAATTTGCTGATTGGTGAATTATGTCTACACAAACTGGCCGCATGTTCGAATTGCAGCAGCCTGGGAGCTTTCATGAGAAAAGTGAAACTTGAGAGGTATTTATGTGTTACCTATTTTATTGCTGCTGAAGTAATAAGATGGTGTGACACCAGTAGAGCAATTACGAAACAAAACAACAAGTGAACTTGTATAAAAAAAATTAAGGAATTGTGTGAGATCACTTGAGTCATTGAAACTTGTGTTTGTTTTAGGGATATTCATGGGTGCTGTAGCACTCGAGCAGAGCTGAAGACTGGGTTACTGGGGAAAGAAATAGAACTAAATACAGTAAATAAGAAAAATATAAGAAATAATAGAGCCCAAAATTAGAATACCAGTGACATTTGACTATGATAGTAAACTGTGCCTCAATGGGTTTTGAAATGCCCATTGAGATAAAAGTTATTTTCATACACAAAACAGATGGGTTGAATATTTAGTATCTTGTACTAAAATATTGGTTTGTGGCATGAGATATGGAGACTGTCTGTACAATCTTGTTTGTGACAGTAGTATTTATAGATTCTAATCCTCGCACCCTAGTTCTATCACGGCACTGCAGCTTCTATGAGAAGCACTTGGACACTGCCTGGTGAATTTTCTCAAAGGAGCTGGCCTCACTAGCAGAAGTTATAGTGGGTGTAGAGACCATTATAAGCTAAATAACAAAAAAAGACACAATACTGTGACTGGAACGATACACAAATAACCCGCACATAGAAGAGAGGAGCTTACGACGATGTTTTGGTCCGACTTGGACCATTTACAAAGTCGCACTAACTGTTAGTGTGACTTTGTAAATGGTCCAAGTCGGACTGAAACGTCGTCATAAGCTCCTCTCTTCCATTATAAGCTTGGGAAAAAGTAGCTAAGATAAGAATTTGGTGGCGGTCTCCTTATCTCATTCCTAGATGACAGAAGAGTAATGTGTAACATATAGAAATTTTTTAACATTTGTATTCTTTATTGATTAACCTTTACAGGTTGTCTGGCCGGAGTGCTAATAAAGGAGTGTCTCGAGTAACTTCTTGCCTTGATGATGAAGGGAAGTACGACTTTACTGAGGATTCCTTGAATCTCTTAAAGACGGCAGGGGTTTGTACCTGTCTCAGTAATATGTGTATTTACTCATTGTTATTTATTCTTGTGAAAAAAATTAAACTAATCTGTAGTGTATCCTTATTTGGAAATTATCCAATGATATTATAACTTTTTCTTTGATCCATTTACAGCCTCTCCTCACTTAACCCTTAAACTGTCCAAAAATGTAGATCTACGTTTACGCATGTAGCGCTCCGACCTTGATTTTCTCCATAAGAAAGCTTATAAAAAAACGTAGATCTACGTTCGGAGTGCTACCCGAGTGAACATAGATCTATGTTTGGACAGTTTAAGGGTTAACAACGGAGTTCCGTTCCTAAGACCACGTTGGTAAATGAATTCCTCGCTGAGTGAGGAGCATATTATAATGGTAGTGGCTTTGTGTCAACTATCTTTGATATTGTTTTAATATCACCTTTGTACCATTTATAACATTTCTGGTATATTTTTAAATGTTTGCACAGTAGTGTACTGTATATTGTAATAAACGAATAGAGAAAATCAGCTCTAGTATACATTATTAAGGCATGCATACTGGTCAGAGAGCCCGTCATAAGTCCGAGGCGTCGGTAAATGAGTACGTTGCTAAGTGAGGAGAGGCCGTATTTTACTTTATATTTTATTTCCATTGGGCATTATGCTAACAGTGAATGAGTGTAAATGACAGTTTTATAATTTTTTCATTTTGTCTGTCTGTTATTGCAGACTTTTTCACATGGTATCAAGTCATCCATTGATTATAAGTCTTAGAGATTTTTAACACATTTTACATCCATCAGGGGTACATACATTTTTATTTTCACAGGGAGTCCATGGAAATTGTTCCATTGGGTCGCTGATATTAATACTTCGAGGTTCCAATTGTCAGCGAGTAAAGCCCCACTGGAAAAGACTGTCAACATTTGGTGCCGGAAAAAATCGCAGTGAATCGTATTGGAAAGCACTAGGTAAATATCATAGCATGTTTGATAAAGAAAATGTGTTTGATTGGCTATTTGTGATTACCTATTTGTAGCTACGGGAAGAATTATGATTGTGGTGTCCTATCTTCAATATTTAATTTATCAGGAATTTGTTTGTATCCAATGATTGTAATTCTGTTGCCTCTTGGATAGTATACTATTGTTCTACCACTTTTGTTTGTGAATAATAATATTTTAGTATCCTTGCTTTTAGCACTGCATTTTTTCAGTTTACAAATGTGATCTTTTGTTCTCCCTGTTCGTGGTACACTTATCTGTTTTCTTGTATATTTTTATGATCTTGTATTTGATAACCAAGTCAATTTTTTCCCACTGATCACCTAACAAGGCATTTTTAGCATTTTCAGGTTTTCTATCTGATTTTTTGATTCTGGGAGTTATTGTATAACCTCAGACTTTTGTTATCTTATCCACATTTATTTAATACAAATGCCTCATCACCACTGCACATAGAAATTTTAGCCTAATGTTCATTGTGAACAGCTTTTTGGGGGAAATTTTTGCATCCCCATATTTCAAGGTCATTTTAAAGTTTGTCAGTATAACATGAGTGTCTCACACTAACATAAATGATATTGATATATTACAGTGATGATCTTTTATTCATGATGGCTCTAAAATCCTTCTGCTGGACATGATATTTTAATACAGTATTTTTAATTTGGTCTGTTATTACTTTCTCTTATTTTCATTATATGATAATTATCTACAATGAATTTTCATCCAATTGTCACTTCTTTTGTTCGATTTACAGTATACACAATTTTTTGTTTTAATCATCTTTATTGCTTAATCTTTATTTAGTCATCTTTATTGTTAAATTTACATAGAATCTTTGAATAATTTTCTTAGTAATATGCTCCATTATTTGTTTATTCTTTCATTCAAATCATTAATATAAATTAGAACAATATCAAGACAAGCAGCAATCCTTTTGGAACCCCGCAGATGACATTTCCCTGAAGGAAATTTTTTCTCTTATCACTGCTTATATGTATTTTATTTCAAACAGAAAATGTCCACCCAGTAAGAAATTTCATATTATTTTCTCATGTTTTTGTATTTTTTTAGTCTTTCATGAATGAATAACTATTATAACTTCTTTCATTATTATACTTTGTTTTTTGTTTCAGGCAAGATGTTAGTTTCTGCTGGATACATCTCAGAGACATCTGTGCGTGCTGGAGGCGAGGGAAGAGGTCGAGGGAGACGAGGCTGGGGTCGATATGGTTCTGCTTTCTCATACGATGCCATTGAGACAACTACAAAAGGATTTCATGTTTTAGAGGATCCTAAGTTAGTAGTTGTACATTTATATATATTTTTGTTTAGGTTTACAATACTTTACAGTATGTACAATATATTAAACTTCCATTATGAGGCATAAACAACTTTTTAACTACAATATACAGGTTTCATTGAGAATGTAGGTAGGACTAAAAGATAAATAGATATATCTTAACCACGATAGTGCAGGCGAGGAAAAGACATACAGTACTCTGTAGATCAAGCTTTTATCAGGATAACATTTAATTTTTTTTTAACACAATGGTCATCTCTCACCAAGACAGGGTGACCCAAAGAAAACACTTATACCACCATTCACTCGATCAGTATTTATATCTTTATCAAGTCATATTTTGCATTACCGAGCAGTACATGATAGGAGCAGTATAAGAATTGGCATTCTGTGCTTTATAACTTGCATAGGTTTGGAGCATTTTTTGTAATATAGTACAGTAACAGAAATGATGTAGGAATATAAAGAACCTTGTTGCTTCCCGTCTATAAAGGGGTTGTTTTGATGTTGAAGAGCTCTGGCTCCAAAGATATAGAGCTTCCCTTTGATCAAGCCTGATTGCTTCTTATTCCCCAGGTACTGTACACCCCTACAAGTTTAGCACTTCCCATGAATATAATAATATTAAATTTACAGCTGCAAAATTCTTTTGGCACCATCATCTACAATGCTGGAAGAATTACGTTACGTCATCAAGAGAGTGAGACCTGTTACCACTGCCACTAATGGAGAGTTATCCCACTCCCGCATATTTAACCCCAGGTATAATAGACCTTTATGTTTATATTATGGTTTTTATTTTTAATTTTTAACACATCAGCTGTCTCCCACTAGGCAGGGTGACCCAAAAAAGAAGAAATGGAAGTTTCTTCTTTTTACATTTAGTAATTTATACAGAAGGGTTACTAGCCCCTTCCTCCCAGCATTTTAGAGTATTGTATTTGTGTGCTATAAACTTCTTTACAGTAGCGCCAGATGTGAATGAGTATGAGCTCTTATAAAAGACTTAAGATTTATTCTACAGAGGGCTTACACAGAACTGCTGTATATCATTAAACTATTACAGTTGTGGATCCTAGAGTACCTATGTTCAATTTTTTTATTCAGGATTAAAACTAACAAATACAATACTTCCTGTTATATTATAGTATTACTAGTAAGATTATATACAGTCTGTATTAGTAAAGCACTGTTTCATGGTGCTTCACTAATATGGACATTTCAAATCTACCCAAAAATTTGTTTATATAGCTCCTGATTCACTGTTTGGGCACCCATGTCCACTTGCCACTCTGTTTACGTCTTTTGTGAGCTCTGCATCTCTGTTATGTTAAAGTTATTGCATATTTTATATGTACTGTACTTTTTTTGTGTTACAATGACATCTAAGGGAAGTTGTGATAAAAAGAGAAGTCGTAAGGCTCTTACTTTATGTGCAAATTTAGAAATGATTAAACTCAGTGAGCATGGTATGTCTATGGCTGGGATAGTACTGAGATACTGCTGATAACCTAACAAATCCCTGTTTGCAAGGGTTTTAAAGGAATGTAAAGAGGAACTTAGCATAACTTTGGCTAATCTTTTCAATACACTACAAAGTGGCAAAGTGCCAGACAAGTGGAAAATGGCAAATGTAATACCTATTTACATGACAGGTCACATGTCCTTAGCTTCAGACTATAGACCAATAAGCCTTACCTCCCTAGTGGGAAAATTTATGGAATCAGTAATTGCCAAGGCAATTCATAGTCATCTTGAAAGGCATAATTTGATTAATGAATCTCAGCACGGTTTTACAAAGGGGCATTCCTGTCTTACGAATTTACTAACTTTTTTCACTAAAGTATTTGAGGAGGTAGATCATGGTAGTGAATATGATACTGTGTATATAGACTTCAGTAAGGCTTTCGATAGAGTTCCACATCAGAGGCTATTGAGGAAACTTAAGGCACTTGGAATAGGGGGAGAAATTTTTTCCTGGGTAGAGGCATGGTTGGCAAATAGGCAGCAGAGAGTTTGCATAAATGGGGAGAAATCAGAATGGGGGGTACGTCACAAGCGGTGTTCCACAGGGGTCAGTGTTGGGCCCCTTGTTCACAATTTACAAAAATGACATAGATGAGGGAATAAGTAGCGACATAAGCAAATTTGCTGATGATGCCAAAATAGGCCGTCCAATTCAGTTTAATAAGGACATTAGAGCACTTCAGGATGATTTGAATAGACTGAGGCAGTGGTCGGAGAAGTGGCAGATGCAGTTTAATATAGACAAATGCAAAGTTCTAAACATTGGACAGGAAAATAACCATGCCACATATAAACTAAATAATTTTTTTTTTTTTCAACAAGTCGGCCGTCTCCCACCGAGGCAGGGTGACCCAAAAAAGAAAGAAAATCCCCAAAAAGAAAATACTTTCATCATCATTCAACACTTTCACCACACTCACACATTATCACTGTTTTTGCAGAGGTGCTCAGAATACAACAGTTTAGAAGCATACACATATAAAGATACACAACATATCCCTCCAAACTGTAGATCTTAATATTACTGATTGCAAAAAGGATTTAGGAGTTCTGGTTAGCAGTAATCTGAAACCAGGACAACAGTGCATAAGTGTTTGCCTAACAGAATCCTTGGCTTCATATCAAGAAGTATAAATAATAGAAGTCCTCAGGTTGTTCTTCAACTCTATATAGCTTTGGTTAGGTCTCATTTAGATTATGCTACACAGTTCTGGTCACCGTATTACAGAATGAATATAAATGCACTGGAAAATGTACAAAAGAAGATGACAAAGTTGATCCCATGTATCAGAAGTCTTCCCTATGAGGATAGACTGAGGGCCCTGAATCTGCTCTCTCTCTAGAAAGGTGTAGAATTAGGGGGTATATGATTGAGGTGTATAAATGGAAAACAGGAATAAATGAAGGGGATGTAAATAGCCTGCTAAAAATATCTAGCCTAGACAGTGCTCACAGCAATGGCTTTAAGTTGGAAAAATTCGTATTTAGGAAGGATATAGGAAAGCACTGGTTTGGTAATAGAGTTGTGGATGAGTGGAACAAACTCCCGAGTACCGTCATAGAAGCTAAGAGATTGTGTACAGTAGTTTTAAAAATAGGTTAGATAAATGCACGAGTGGGTGTGGGTGGGTGTGAGTTGGACCTGACTAGCTTGTGCTGCTAGGTCAGATGCCGTACTCCTTCCTTAAGTGAATGTGACCTGACCTGACTAGATCAGGGCGTTGGCTTAAGCCAGTAGGAGAATTGGACCTGCCTCGCATGGGCCAGTAGGCTTGCTATAGTGTTCCTTCTGTCTTATGCTCTTATGAATGTGATGGAAGTAATTATTAGAACAGATTGCTTGTAGGCTTTAGGTGCAACATCCTTTACCAGTAAGTTGCAACTGGATGCTGCTACATAATGTTTCAGAGTTTTTAAATTGTTATTATTATGTAAATTGTCAAGACACTAGCTATACAGAAGAAAATTCTACATTTTTATATTATTTTCCAGTGACTTCCTAAGCCAACAAGCCAGAAGGCAAATGTTGCCCAAAACACAGGGTATTGCATCTGCCTCTGAATCACTTGGAGTGAGACCTGAATCTTCAGGAGGAAAAGCAGAGTATCAGACACAGGAAGATCTTGTAGATCCAGAAGAAGAGAAATTGAAGGTTTGTATTTTTGAGATACAAGTAGAATTTAAACATTAATATTTTGCCTGTTTACTGATGAAAACAAATAACATGCAGCATAGTCTTACTGGAGTGACATTCACAGAATCAATTGTTATACTGTACATGCAGTTGTTAGTTTAATGTGTTCATAATTTCTGTTTAATGATGATAGTAGTTTTGCATATTTGAAAGTTTAGGCATGAAAGGCTTCATTATCTCAAATTATTTTAACATTTTGTTGGTGCATTTTTAAAAAATGATGGGAAAAAGGGTAAGTCCTGGGGTTTGGGGGGAAAAATATTCCTTTTTATGGAAAAGGGGGGAAAAAGGGTGCAAAATTTTTAAAGGGGGTTTTTTGAGTATTGGTAAAGTGTATGGTAGAGTTATAATTGAAAGAATTAAGAGTAAGACGGAAAATAGGATAGCAGATGAACAAGGAGGCTTTAGGAAAGGTAGGGGGTGTGTGGACCAGGTGTTTACAGTGAAACATATAAGTGAACAGTATTTAGATAAGGCTAAAGAGGTCTTTGTGGCATTTATGGATTTGGAAAAGGCGTATGACAGGGTGGATAGGGGGGCAATGTGGCAGATGTTGCAAGTGTATGGTGTAGGAGGTAGGTTACTGAAAGCAGTGAAGAGTTTTTAACGAGGATAGTGAGGCTCAAGTTAGAGTATGTAGGAAAGAGGGAAATTTTTTCCCAGTAAAAGTAGGCCTTAGACAAGGATGTGTGATGTCACCGTGGTTGTTTAATATATTTATAGATGGGGTTGTAAGAGAAGTAAATGCGAGGGTCTTGGCAAGAGGCGTGGAGTTAAAAGATAAAGAATCACAAACAAAGTGGGAGTTGTCACAGCTGCTCTTTGCTGATGACACTGTGCTCTTGGGAGATTCTGAAGAGAAGTTGCAGAGATTGGTGGATGAATTTGGTAGGGTGTGCAAAAGAAGAAAATTAAAGGTGAATACAGGAAAGAGTAAGGTTATGAGGATAACAAAAAGATTAGGTGATGAAAGATTGAATATCAGATTGGAGGGAGAGAGTATGGAGGAGGTGAACGTATTCAGATATTTGGGAGTGGACGTGTCAGCAGATGGGTCTATGAAAGATGAGGTGAATCATAGAATTGATGAGGGAAAAAGAGTGAGTGGTGCACTTAGGAGTCTGTGGAGACAAAGAACTTTGTCCTTGGAGGCAAAGAGGGGAATGTATGAGAGTATAGTTTTACCAACGCTCTTATATGGGTTGTGAAGCATGGGTGATGAATGTTGCAGCGAGGAGAAGGCTGGAGGCAGTGGAGATGTCATGTCTGAGGGCAATGTGTGGTGTGAATATAATGCAGAGAATTCGTAGTTTGGAAGTTAGGAGGAGGTGCGGGATTACCAAAACTGTTGTCCACAGGGCTGAGGAAGGGTTGTTGAGGTGGTTCGGACATGTAGAGAGAATGGAGCGAAACAGAATGACTTCAAGAGTGTATCAGTCTGTAGTGGAAGGAAGGCGGGGTAGGGGTCGGCCTAGGAAAGGTTGGAGGGAGGGGGTAAAGGAGGTTTTGTGTGCGAGGGGCTTGGACTTCCAGCAGGCATGCGTGAGCGTGTTTGATAGGAGTGAATGGAGACAAATGGTTTTTAATACTTGACGTGCTGTTGGAGTGTGAGCAAAGTAACATTTATGAAGGGGTTCAGGGAAACCGGCAGGCCGGACTTGAGTCCTGGAGATGGGAAGTACAGTGCCTGCACTCTGAAGGAGGGGTGTTAATGTTGCAGTTTAAAAACTGTAGTGTAAAGCACCCTTCTGGCAAGACAGTGATGGAGTGAATGATGGTGAAAGTTTTTCTTTTTCGGGCCACCCTGCCTTGGTGGGAATCGGCCAGTGTGATAATAAAAAAAAAAATTTTGTATTACGATATCTGTGCAGTTCTGGTAAAACAATTATGAATTGAATGATGGTGAATGTTTCTTCTTTTGATTTGACTGATCTAATAAAAAGATTACATATCTCTTTTGTGTTCCAAAATATGATTCAAATTACTAATAAATATAATTAAAATAAAACTGTTTGGGTAGGTAAATTGAAATTAATAAACTAGAAAAAGCAATGAAAGTAGATTAATTAAAGTCTTATCCAAATGTAAACATTGTCAGTAATAGGACTTAAGCAACAGTTTTTATTGGCTCAAGCTTTGAACAGATACTTTAAGTGGTGGTAAAAACATTGATTGCAGTGGAATCCTTGACTGATACATTTCACCCACAGGTGGGCTTGAAAAAGCCCACCCGTAAGGAAACAATGTCACTGTAATCACCATTTGTTGGTGTTATCCCCCCAGTTGGCAACAGTTACAATATATTATTTTTTCTTTCAGACTGAGCTATACAAGTCACTGCTACAGCTACGGAACCGTCTAGGAGAAGAAAATGGGTTCATGCCATATTTGGTTGCCACAAACAGAGTATTGCTTTTACTTGCACAGAATAGGCCTGCTACATTGAATGCCTTAAGAAAAAGTTAGTTTTTGTTGGTAGACTAGATCAATGGTTCTTGAACATTTCTGGGTCATGACTCCCAAAATATTATTTTGCAGGTCTGTTGTATATTCCCCTATGATACATTTCGTCTACTATGCATGCATATTGCTCATTTTGCACAGAGACCATAAAGCCAGATGTGTTGCTGTTGATTATTTTAATTTGTTTAATTGTGACTTAATATATATATTGTTTTTATTAAAAACAATCACAGGAGGAGTTGAATAATAGCTCCAGGTCTTTTGTGTTGCAATCAACACATTAGGAGCTTGCAAAGTTGCAGAAATGAGTAAGAAATCTCAGGAGATTCTTTCCAAGGGATGATTGCTGCAACCATCCCTTGGAATGAATCTCCTGAGATTTCTTTCTCATATCTACAACTTTGCAAGTTTCTGATGATATGTTGATTGCAACACGAAAGGCCTAGAGCTATTATTCAACTCCCTCAGTGGTTATTTTGCATAATAACAATATATTAAGTCACAATTGCACAAATTAAAATAACCAGCTGCAAGCATCCCTTGGAACGAATCTCCTGAGATTTCTTACTCATTTCTGCAACTTTGCAAGCTCCTGATGATGTGTTGATTGCAACACAAAAGACCTAGAGCTATTATTCAACTCCTCCTGTGGTTGTTTTGCATTTTATATTGTTTGTTCGCAATTTTTGCACATACTGTTTTTGTAAGTACATATGTAACTTGCCATAACCTAACCTGAGCTAACCTGTTATTGAAAAAGATAATTTTTTTATTGCAAGGAACATTCAGAAATTGACATTGAGACTTACATAAGAAAATGAATGATGTAAAATGAAAATAGTTTATTTTTTAACACACTGGCTGTCTCCCATCAATCGTAGCTAGTGGCGAGAGCTATACCTCTTAACACTGAGGTCTGGGAATTGACAATAGGTTGTATCTTAACAAAATTACATAGGTTAAAAAATTTAGAAAAAGCTAGTAAGTATAAGTGGATATAACAAATTGAAACATAGTTTAAATGTTTATAAGAAACTTTTTTAGTGAGATGAATGTAGTTGTAGGTTTGTGTAGTAGAAATTTGCTTCCAAGGTACATTCGAAAGGCCTTTCTATTCTTTTAGTCCCCTTAAGGGAGGTTCTTTGGTGCCGGTAAGGTCCTGTATGACCCCTACAGGTTTAGAACTTTCCCCCATGAATATAATAATATTCCTTTAGTAACATCAGTGAAAGAAATGCATTTACAATATATATTGAAACAAAAGGCATAAAGTGATTATGGTTACCAAAATTTTGCTATCAGTCATTTGTTCTGGATGATTACTGGAAAACTGTTAGGTCCTCAAGCTAAAAATTGCTGTAGATTCAAGGATAATTAATGAAGAGTAACCAAATTATGTATTATGGTTGGGGTTAAATTTTTGTTGAGTTAAGGGCTATACTGTAATATTTTTGAGAGTTAGTATCAAAATTTTTTATTTGGGAATGGTGTGAAGTTGTTTCATGACTACCAGATGTTTAAGATATGGGTCCCATTCAACGTATTGTTTGTGGAAGGAAATATAAAACACGCTATTTTTATGCAAATAAGAATGTATACGATGGTAGGATTGCTGGTGTCTTTTTCCGTCTCTCAAACATTCAAGATCTCAGGTACATCTTGCTACTTCTACTTACACTTAGGTCACACCACACATACATGTACAAGTACAGTGGAACCTCAAATATCGAACTGCTCCCAACTCAACCAATTATGTAAGTGTATTTTTGTAAGTGCTTTTATAAGTGTATTTTTGAGGGTCTGAAATGAACTAATCTAATTTACATTATTCCTGAGTGGAATTTATTCGTTCGGTAATGGCACTCGAACAGCCGTCTGGAACGAAGAAAGTTTGATATTGACACACCCCTCTGAGTTTTCTTCTATTTTCTCAATAGTTCTTGTTCTTGTTTATTTCCTCTTATCTCCATGGGGAAGTGGAACAGAATTCTTCCTCTGTAAGCCATGCACGTCATAAGAGGCGACTAAAGTTAAAAAGAGAAACTTGTTTTTCTTTTTGAGCCACCCTGCCTTTGTGGGATACAGCCGGTTTCTTGAAAAAAGGGAAGAAGATTGTACGTGAAGGTGAGAATGCTGTAAGAGGGAAGAAAAGGTAAAAGGAATGGGAAGGGAAGAAATATTTTTAAAATGAAGTATGACAGATATTTATCTTTTTTTATTTGTTTTTTAAAGCAGAAGATGCTTCATTATGCCATAAGAGCTCACTGTGGAGCACAGTTTAAGAATCACTGCTCTGGATAACCCAGTACTCTGAATATTTGCTAATATTTGCTGAACTATTTGTGTCTTAACATAACTTTATTTTTTTGTCAGTTGAGGGGCTGGTCGAAGCAAAAGTTCAGAAGTTTGGCCCTGCTCTTGTGGAACACATCCAGACTTTCTGTAGCAAGACTAATCTAAAATGTATGGCTGAAGAGGGCGAGATTAATAAGATTGAAGTAAGTTTAAATGTATGACTCCTCTAAGGATATTATAGGAACTTAGAATGCTGATCTCACCAGAGTTAATTGCTTTGAGAGATGGCAGCTAGTGTGTAATTTTGTTATTGAGGTAAATGTTGCCTTTATTCACCACGCTCTAGGTGGCATGACATAATATATAATTCCTACGTTTCTTTGAATGAATCTGTTAGTCATTTTTACTGACATTATTACTGTAATTAGCCTAAATGAGCAAGTATGCTATCAGTTGCATTTCATACATATTTGCAATCATATTGTGCTGAAGAATTTTTGTATTATACTGTACTTGAGGTGTATTTTGTATATATCACTGTTTTGTTAATGATATTAGTTAAAATGACTTGTAATATTTTTATATTGCTAATTTTTAATTACACCTACCATCCGACATACGACCTGCTCGACTTACGACCACTCGACTTACGACCGTGTTTTTTATGCCAAATTTCTGGGAAACAAACAACTATTTGTGTTGTACACAGTGTTTATCCTAAACCTTACAGTATAAAATACAGTACTAACAACATAAAAAGTAAAGTAAAACATGAAATACCAAAATAAAACAATAAAATAAAGTCATTACAAAAATGTTCTGTTGATATTCAGTAGTAAAGTTCGACTTATGACCATTTCGACTTACGACCGGTTTCTCGGAACCGAACTCGGTCGTAAGTCGGATGGTAGGTGTACTGTATTTAAATATTGAAATTTTATTTCCAGTCTTGTGTGAGTGTGGAGCCACAACCCTCTACAAGCAGCTGTATTAATAGATTTATGCCATCAAGAGTAACTTGCAATGATGACATTAGTGCTTCATCAGGATGGATATCTGCTTCCAAAACCAAAGCCACAACAATCAATACAACCAGATCATTTTCCCCTGACTCAGCAGAAAAATCTGTGAATAAGAGTACAAAAGGCCCCGAAAAATTTAGAATACACAATAGAGAAGGCCCAGTATCCCCAAAGGAACAAACACATCTAATAGATCATTCTACATCAGGCAAATATGTGAATGTAAATGAGAATACTAGAACATATCAAAGTGATTCAATTCAGATGAATACAGACAATGAACATCCTGAAAATTCATTGGCAAAATATAAAGACAGCCAGCATGCACCAAAATATACTGTACCCAAGCTGAGTGGAAAAGATTTTACTACACATTCTGGTTTGTTGTCAGATGAAGACACAGAGATATTTGACGAACTTGATGAAGAAAGTTTTATGAATAATATGTCCATATCTGTTACGTTAGATACTAAAATAAAGTTACCAGACTCAGTTGATACCAAAATTGTGCCAAAACCAGACATGCCAAATGCAGAAACATGCATGACCAAATCTTTTGAAGACACAAAATTGCTTAACATATTCCAGTTTTCTTCAGCACCAGAATGTAAATCTAGCAAGAAAAAGGGAGTATCTTACAGTGATTCGGATTCTGAGGGTGAAAGTTCTACTACTGAGAATTCACAAGAAAAGTATGAGCGCATAATTTCAGATAATAAAAGGAAACTTAAAAATAGTGGATGGATTGATTCTCGTATGATGAAAAAGAAAATAAAAAAAAATTCACTCTTCACAAAGTAGCACAGTATTGAAGAGATTTTAGAAATTAAAAACTATATTGTTTTGAGGCATAAAATATGTTACAAAATAATATCATATAAATTATAATTTAATTAAAATATACTTTTTTGTTGTAAATAAAAGATGTCATAATTCTTTAGGTTCTATGAAATATATTCATTATATGGCATGTAAGCTGTAATTTAATTAGCATACAACTTTTTGTTTTATTTAAAAGATTTTGTTAGAAAATTTGATACCCTTGATATAGATTCCTTGAATGTCTCATCATTTCATAAGCGAATTGTTATTTCATTCACACTTAAGAAAATAAAGTAAGAAATTTGTGTATATTTTTTTAGTGTTTTTAATGATGTATTAGGCAAGGAGTATGCAACTATCTTAACCCTTAAACTGTCCAAACGTAGATCTATGTTTTTTCAACATTTGAAAGTATGTAAAAAAAGTAGATCTTTTCTTTTTTAACATTTGAAAACGTGTAAAAAAACTTTGATCTACGTTTTTTTTTTTTGTTATACTATTTGAATATATGTAAAAAAAACATAGATCTACTTTTGGAGCGCTACGCATGAAAACATAGATCTGCTTGGACAGTTTAAAGGTTAATGGTAAGATATGCTGTATGCAATTCAAAATATAAAGTAGTTCTTCCTTTATATTAATTGTTTGCAATAATCCCCCTAAAGGGAGGTTCCTTGATGTTGGTGAGGGGCTCTTGCTCTAGGGAATTGGATCTGTGCTCCAGTTCCCTGAATTGAGCCTGAATGCCTTCCATCGCCCTACCCCCTCGCAAGTGCTCTATAATCCTCTGGGTTTAGCGCTCCCCCATGATTATGATAATTTATTATTATTAGCACACTGGCCGATTCCCACCAAGGCAGGGTGGCCCGAAAAAGAAAAACTTTCACCATCATTCACTCCATCACTGTCTTGCCAGAAGGGTGCTTTACACTACAGTTTTTAAACTGCAACATTAACACCCCTCCTTCAGAGTGCAGGCACTGTACTTCCCATCTCCAGGACTCAAGTCCGGCCTGCCGGTTTCCCTGAACCCCTTCATAAATGTTACTTTGCTCACACTCCAACAGCACGTCAAGTATTAAAAACCATTTGTCTCCACTCACTCCTATCAAACACGCTCACGCATGCCCGCTAGAAGTCCAAGCCCCTCGCACACAAAACCTCCTTTACCCCCTCCCTCCAAGTTTTCCTAGGCCGACCCCTACCCCGCCTTCCTTCCACTACAGACTGATACACTCTTGAAGCCATTCTGTTTCGCTCCATTCTCTCTACATGTCCGAACAACCTCAACAACCCTTCCTCAGCCCTCTGGACAACAGTTTTGGCAATCCTGCACCTCCTCCTAACTTCCAAACTACGAATTCTCTGCATTATATTCACCCCACACATTGCCCTCAGACATGACATCTCCACTGCCTCCAGCCTTCTCCTCGCTGCAACATTCATCACCCATGCTTCACACCCATATAAGAGCGTTGGTAAAACTATACTCTCATACATTTCCCTCTTTGCCTCCAAGGACAAAGTTCTTTGTCTCCACAGACTCCTAAGTGCACCGCTCACCCTTTTGCCCTCATCAATTCTATGATTCACCTCATCTTTCATAGACCCATCCGCTGACACGTCCACTCCCAAATATCTGAATACATTCACCTCCTCCATGCTCTCTCCCTCCAATCTGATATCCAATCTTTCATCACCTAATCTTTTTGTTATCCTCATAACCTTACTCTTTCCTGTATTCACTTTTAATTTTCTTCTTTTACTTTTTTTTTTTTTTCAACAAGTCGGCCGTCTCCCACCGAGGCAGGGTGACCCAAAAAAAGAAAGAAAATCCCCAAAAAGAAAATACTTTCATCATTATTCAACACTTTCACCACACTCACACATTATCACTATTTTTGCAGAGGTGCTCAGAATACAACAGTTTAAAAGCATATACATATAAAGATACACAACATATCTCTCCAAACTGCCAATATCCCAAACCCCTCCTTCAAAGTGCAGGCATTGTACTTCCCAACAAATTATTATTATAATCAAAAAGAACCGCTAAGCCACAAGGGCTATACAGTCACACTCCAGCAGATCGTCAGGTCCCAAGTACCATTTGTCTCCATTCACTCCTATCTAACACGCTCACGCACGCTTGCTGGAAGTCCAAGCCCCTCTCTCCAACCCTTTCGAGGACGACCCCTACCCTGCCTTCCTTCCCCTATAGATTCATATGCTTTCCATGTCATTCTACTTTGATCCATTCTCTCTAAATGACCAAACCACCTCAACAACCTCTCTTCTGCCCTCTGACTAATGCTTTTATTAACTCCACACCTTTTCCTAATTTCCACACTCCGAATTTTCTGCATAATATTTACACCACACATTGCCCTTAGACAGGACATCTCCACTGCCTCCAACCGTCTCCTCGCTGCTGCATTTACCACCCAAGCTTCACATCCATATAAGAGTGTTGGTACTACTATACTTTCATACATTCCCTTCTTTGCCTCCATAGATAACGTTTTTTGACTCCACATATACCTCAACGCACCACTCACCTTTTTTTCCCTCATCAATTCTATGATTAACCTCATCCTTCATAAATCCATCCGCCGACGCGTCAACTCCCAAGTATCTGAAAACATTCACTTCTTCCATACTCCTCCTCCCCAATTTGATATCCAATTTTTCTTTATCTAAATCATTTGATACCCTCATCACCTACTCTTTTCTATGTTCACTTTCAACTTTCTACCTTTACACACATTCTCAAACTCATCCACTAACCTTTGCAATTTTTCTTTAGAATCTCCCATAAGCACAGTATCATCTGCAAAAAGTAACTGTGTCAATTCCCATTTTGAATTTGATTCCCCATAATTTAATCCCACCCCTCTCCCGAACACTCTAGCATTTACTTCTTTTCTTTTACATACCCTACCAAATTCATCCACCAACCTCTGCAACTTCTCTTCAGAATCTCCCAAGAGCAGTGTCATCAGCAAAGAGCAACTGTGACAACTCCCACTTTGTGTGTGATTCTTTATCTTTTAACTCCACGCCTCTTGGGATTTTACTTCACTTATAACCCCATCTGTAAATATATTAAACAACCATGGTGACATCACACATCCTTGTCTAAGGCCTACTTTTACTGGGAAATAATCTCCCTCTTTCCTTCATACTCTAACTTGAGCCTCACTATCCTCATAAAAATTCTTCACTGCTTTCAGTAACCTACCTCCTATACCATACACCTGCAACATCTGCCACATTGCCCCCTATCCACCCTGTCATATGCCTTTTCCAAATCCATAAATGCCACAAAAACTTCTTTAGCCTTATCTAAATACTGTTCACTTATGTGTTTCACTGTAAACACCTGGTCCACACACCCCCTACCTTTCCTAAAGCCTCCTTGTTCATCTGCTATCCTATTCTCCGTCTTACTCTTAATTCTTTCAATAATAACTCTACCATACACTTTACCAGGTATACTCAACAGACTTATCCCCCTATAATTTCTGCACTCTCTTTTGTCCCCTTTGCCTTTATACAAAGGAACTATGCATGCTCTCTGCCAATCCCTAGGTACCTTACCCTCTTCCATACATTTATTAAATAATAGCACCAACCACTCCAAAACTATATCCCCACCTGCTTTTAACATTTTTATCTTTATCCCATCAATCCCAGCTGCCTTACCCCCTTTCATTTTACCTACTGCCTCACGAACTTCCCCCACACTCACAACTGACTCTTCCTCACTCCTACAGGATGTTATTCCTCCTTGCCCTATACATGAAATCACAGCTTCCCTATCTTCATCAACATTTAACAATTCCTCAAAATATTCCTTCCATCTTCCCAATACCTCTAACTCTCCATTTAATAAAACTCTCCTCTCCTATTTTTAACTGACAAATCCATTTGTTCTCTAGGCTTCCTCAACTTATTAATCTCACTCCAAAACTTTTTCTTATTTCAACAAAATTTGTTGATAACATCTCACCCACTCTCTCATTTGCTCTCTTTTTACATTGCTTCACACTCTCTTAACCTCTCTCTTTTTCTCCATATACTCTTCCCTCCTTGCATCACTTCTACTTTGTAAAAACTTCTCATATGCTAACTTTTTCTCCCTTTCTACTCTCTTTACAAACATCATTCCACCAATCGCTCCTCTTCCTTCCCGCACCCACTTTCCTGTCACCACAAACTTCTGCTGAACACTCTAACACTACATTTTTAAACCTACCCCATACCTCTTCAACCCCATTGCCTATGCTCTCATTTGCCCATCTATCCTCCAATAGCTGTGTATATCTTACCCTAACTGCCTCCTCTTTTAGTTTATAATCCTTCACCTCTCTCTTCCCTGATGCTTCTGTTCTCCTTGTATCCCATCTACCTTTTACTCTCAGTGTAGCTACAACTGAAAAGTGATCTGATATATCTGTGGCCCCTCTATAAACATGTACATCCTGAAGTCTACTTAACAAACTACTGCCATTTCGCCCTACATCATATCTTGTATGCTTATTTATCCTCATTTTCTTAAAATATGTATTACCTATAACTAAACCCCTTTCTATACAAAGTTCAATCAAAGGGCTCCCATTATCATTTACACCTGGCACCCCAAACTTACCTACCACACCCTCTCTAAAAGTTTCTCCTACTTTAGCATTCATTTCCCCTACCACAGTTGCTCTCTCACTTGGTTCAAAGGTTCCTATACATTCACTTAACATCTCCCAAAATCTCTCTCTCTCCTCTACATTCCTGTCTTCTCCAGGTGCATACATGCTTATTATGACCCACTTTTCACATCCTTCAAGCTATATGACCCTTGGGGGTCTGGCACTTTTTCCTGAACTTAATGATTGATCACCCCTTTTGAAGGATATATTAATGCTGATGAATTGCCCTTCATCCAAGGAATTGAAGCTACCTTTCTCCCTCCTGAGATCAAATCTGATTCTCTCCACTTCCCTAGGGGCTATATGATCTTTTTTCCATCAAAAATTTCTTGATATTGGTGAGGGGGTCTTGATCCAAGGAATTGCACTTCTCCCTTATATTGAACCTGATTGCCTCCCATTTCCCAGGCTCTCGATGACCCCCTTTTAACAATTCACCCTAAATATAATAGAAATAATAATATATGACTTCTATAGGTTTAGCACTTCATCAGTGTAACAATGGTTTGATATATGTATTTATAAATAAGAAAAATAAATAAATAAATATAATCCAGCATCATATCACTGATTTATTGTACTGTATGATATGAAATTTCATTAAACCAAACAGCCTCTCCTTACTTAGCGACATACTCAATTACCGATGACTCGGACTTACGATGGGCTCTCCGACCAGTATGCATACCTAAATAATGTATATTAGAGCTATTTTCTCTATTCTGTTTATTACAATATACAATACACTGCTGTATAAACATTTAACCCGTAAACGGTCCAAACGTATATATACGTTTTTTCAACATTTGAAAGTATGTAAAAAAAGTAGATCTTTTTTTTTTACATTTGAAAATGTGTAAAAAACTTTGATTTACTTTTTTTTTGTTATATTTGAAAATGTGTAAAAAAAACGTAGATCTACTTTTGGAGCACT